TTGTGTCTATGTTAATAAATTTGAAGGGAAAGCATGTTGGAAATAAGGGTTTTGCGTAGTCAATAAAATATGATGATTTGTTGAGAGTTGATTGTTTCATGTTAGTTTTGAGTTGGATTTGAGTTGTTTGTATTGAATAAGATCATTATTTTGTGTTGCATGTGTGGTTTGGTTGTGTTTCAGGTGGAATAGGTGATTTTTGTGATATACATAAGTTTAGATTGCTCGTTGTGTTGGGCATGCCTTCTTGGCGTCGAGCATTGTCCCATCATGAGTATTTCTGTCTCAATCTTTTTGGGCGTAGGATCGATGGCACTCAACGTTGTTTCAACATAATTCTTTTTGTCTCAATCACACCGAGTGCATGATCGGTGACGTTGGACGTCAGGAGAAAGAATCGTCTTGGGTTGGGAGTTGGGATGGCACCAAGTGGGGTTTAAATGGTGTCGGCCTTGAGAACAATGGGAGGTCTCTAACTTGGTGACGTTGGGCTCAAAGGTGATTGACGCCTAGTGCGCTCAAGTTAGAGCTCTCTATTTAGATGACATCGGATGCCAATATGGTGATACCGAGCATAAGTGAAGCAGAGACTCCCTATCTAAGATGGGGTGGAGCATGGTACCTTGCCACGTTAGACACGAGGTCCTAAAGGCCTTTACCTTATCCACGTTGGATGCAGGTTGAGTAGCATTGAACATTGGTGAGACAGAGAGTTCGTTACCTTAATGGTGTCGAGCGCTGGTTGTTGAAGGATAACATGATGATTTAATTGATGAAATGTTTAATACTTGTTAATTTAGTTGTTAAATGAATAAATAATGGTGAATGAATTGCAAGGATGATGTTGTATGTGATGATTGTATTGTGAGTTGTTAGTTGAAAGTTAAGATGAGGTGTTAAGTGTTGAAATTGCTATATGCATGATGTTATTATGTTGTTGAGAATGCTTTAGACATTTAGGAATGATGTTGTTCAATTGTGATGACCAACCAAGGACTAAAGGAAATATTTTTAAAAGTTACATATCTCATTGTGTGAATATTGTATTGTGGTGCTCCAATAACCCAAATTTGTTGAAAACCTTTCATTCGAAGTTGACCCTTGAAGTGGATAATTGTGTTGAATCTTCTCTATAACTTAGTTGGTACCATGTGTGAACAAGGTCGACGCATACATGTATAAAGCCACCACGGTATAGGGGTCAGGTTAAGCTATATTAATTACAAGTGACCTATCGAGTAAAGTACGAAGTATCAAATAATTTTCAAATTATCCGTCAATTTGAATTAATTAAACGAAGTATCAAATAATTTTCAAATTTGCAGATTTGATTTGTGCATTAAGAACATTAAATTCAACGGTTAGATCGAGTAAAGTACGAAGTATCAAATAATTTTCAAATCTTATTTTCAAATTATCCGTCAATTTGAATTAATTAAACGAAGTATCAAATAATTTTCAAATTTTCACACACACACATACACACACGCACACACACACACGCACACACACACACGCACACACACACGCACACACACACGCACACACACACACACAGAGACACACACACACACACAGACACACACACACACACACAGAGACACACACACACACACAAAGACACACACACACAGAGACAAAGACACACACACACAGAGACACAGACACACACACACACACAGAGACACACACACACACACAGACACACACACACACACACAGAGACACACACACACACACAAAGACACACACACACAGAGACAAAGACACACACACACAGAGACACAGACACACACACACACACAGAGACACACACACACACAGAGACACACACAGACACAGACACAGACACACAGACACAGACACAGACACACACACACAGACACACACACAGACACACACAGACACAGACACACACACAGACACACAGACACACAGACACACAGACACACAGACACAGACACACAGACACACAGACACACAGACACAGACACACAGACACACAGACACACAGACACAGACACACAGACACACAGACACACAGACACACAGACACACACACAGACACACACACACACACACAGAGACACACAGACACAGACACAGACACAGACACACAGACACACACAGACACAGACACACACACACAGAGACACAGACACAGACACACACACACACACACAGACACACAATAGAAACAATATGAAATTAAACTAGTCTTAAATTTAAAGGTCCTCGATGTTTAATCAAACTTTCACACACAGAGGTTGGAAAAACAAAAACCTAATCAAACTTTCGCACACAGAGTTGGAAAAACAAACACCTAATAAAAATATGCAACCATAATATAATAAATAGAAGCAATATGAAATTAAACTAGTCTTTAATTTAAAGGTCCTCGATGTTTAATCAAACTCTCACACACAGAGTTGGAAAAACAAACACCTAATCAAACTTTCGCACACAGAGTTTGAAAAACAAACACCTAATAAAAATATGCAACCATAATATAATAAATAGAAACAATATGAAATTAAACTAGTCTTAAATTTAAAGGTCCTCGATGTTTAATCAAACTTTCACACACAGAGTTGAAAAAACAAACACCTAATAAAAATATGCAACCATAATATAATAAATAGAAACAATATGAAATTAAACTAGTCTTAAATTTAAAGGTCCTCAATGTTTAATCAAACTTTCACACACAGAGTTGGAAAAACAAACACCTAATAAAAATATGCAACCATAATATAATAAATAGAAACAATATGAAATTAAACTAGTCTTAAATTTAAAGGTCCTCGATGTTTAATCAAACTTTCCTAAGTGTTTTATTAGCTACTTGAGATGACATGGAGTATAACATTGAAGTAAGTTTAAAGTTTCATGTCATATAAACTAATTTTAGTGTAATTGAGTATAAATCACTTTGTAATTAATTTAAAGTATGACATTATAGATTTATGTCTTTTGCAAAATAAAAACTTAACTATTTTTTAAATATATCTATCACAAAAATTATCAAAGGACATTTAGTTGTATTTGTGAATAAAAATATAATCCAACACCTTGTTGCCACTTGAACATTTTAAAAGGTCCCATTTAACTCAAAAAATAAGATCAAAGTGTAAAGGAAACTTGAACAATTACCGTATCCAAGTCATTCACAAATTATATGGAGAAATTAACTTGTACTCCTCAATCTTTTCAGTTTAATTCTTCAACTTGATCATCACAAAAGAGCATTTCTCATGCAAAATAATGACTCCTTTCATTGGGTGAACGATGGAATCTCCTAACTAAATTATGTTTACTCATTATTTAAAAAAAAACAAATTAAACTTAAAAATAATAAATTAAATGTGTTTCTCAACTTTAATCATTTTTTATCATGAAATTAAGATAATAATT